TCCTTTGGGAACTATTATTGTATCTAAATAAATAAATCTCGAAAGTTATGACAAGGAATAAGCACTATTCTTGTACAAGCAACGTATTTAATACCGTCAAATCCATTCCAAATAATAAATCTACCCAAAAATACCATTCATTAAACACAACCGAAAATAGCGAATATCGAAGAAAGGGAGAATTACTTTGGAACTAAAAAACAACGATATTTCATTTCGTGAACAACAAATCCATGCACTTAGGAACTTTCTGTTCCGTTCGCCTTTTTTCCTTGTGACTTATTTTCGTTACATTGTATTTACTGACTCCTTTACGTGTTCCTTATTGAAGACTGTGTACGAGTTTTATTGTATTTCGAAGTAGTAGTTACGAACTCTTTAGACAATAATTACGTTGCGTTGAGGGAAAAACTTTAAGTACGGTCAACGGCGCGCTGGTTAGAGTGGTGACCCGTCGACTTTTAGCAGCAATGCAAATGCGATGCAAACGCGATGCAGTAGCGATACTGTCGCTAATCGTCTACCTTTATACACACGCGCGATTGCGTCGATACAAACGCGCAATTGCATCGATGCAATCGCCTATAAATGTTAAGCGTAGTGATGCAATCGCGCGTTTGTATCGATCGTCTCTGTATATTTAAAAGCTTTCAGAAAAATCTTAACTTTAGTTCACTGAAACGCGAGGTTATTTTAGGAGCACTAATCAAGTCCGATCACGTTCTTTTATTTGCTCTTTTTTAATGCTCCGTGCTGTTTTGACGAGGTCACTGACCGACAAGTTCAATATTAAATTCATTTATCATTCTCCTGAGCTCCTAACGATTGAACGTGCTTGGCATTTTTTGGCATTGTGGTCTGGAATAATATTGTCTACAGTGTTTCAAAGATGTTTGAGATTGTTCCGTAAAAGAGTAAAATTTGATAAAGGTTTACAGTTTTACTGACTGTCGCCATGATATAAAATTACTACACTTTTTGAGGCGGATCTAGATCAATGGGAGAACGGGTGCTATAAGGGGCTGGCGATAATAACAATGTTGATGATGATACTTTTTGAAGGTTGTTCATATTGATGAAGGTAATTCAGCCTCTATGTTCACTAATAACAATTTTTTTCAACTCAACAAGAATAATATTTTAGCACCACAGGTCTTTACTCTAAACAATGATAACGAATAAAAATAAAATTCTTTTTTTTTTCATATCAAATGACGGGACGAAGAAGTTAAGTTATTTCAGACAATCATTTGTTAGAAATAATAACAATAAGAAAAGTGCTTACAAATTAGTGTTAGTAGATATATTTGTTTAAATTTATCTTATTCAAATCACCTTCCCCATGAAACATTACCACATGGGAGAGGTAAAGTTTGCCAGCTACAGTTTGTAGGATGCTGTTCGGGCTGTCCCGCACTCTGCGCATCGGGGCTGTCTTTTTCCGGAGGATGGCAGCAAAACCATCCGTCTCGTACTCTGCAAACATCCCCGATGCACTGCAGAAACGAGGCAATCCCAATATCATCCTAAAATATTATTGTACTGTACACTCAGCGGCAGTTTGGTGTAGTCAACTCATAGGCTCCCGCTCCGCTTACTTCTTCTGTACATAATACCAAAGAAATTGTGTTATACCATTTGTTTTACTTTGGATCTGACTTATCCCTTTAGTAAGGTATTTTGCAGGATCTAACTAAAACATAAAATGTACGTTGGTTCCTCATCCGTAACGTCTTTATGTAAAAATATTGATATTAGCCCTTTTTTCCGGGTTGACGACAAATCGTAATTGCCTAACATGGCGTTTATTTCGAGTTTTAAAAAATTTTAACAATATATGTCAAAATTATTTTGTAGTCCTTATCAATAGCTGACATTTTCCAGTAGTCAACTTCTCCACAAAAAAAATAAAATCAGAGTTATGATTTTTTTTCTTAAAAAAATTACTTTAAATCGCTCTCCTATAAAATTGTCCAAATGCACGTCAGCCCTTTCGAGCTTCGATGTTATTATAGTAGATGTAGATACATATGTTATAATAGGAGAACTCATTGTCGAAGAATTCGTCCAGAGAAGTACTGCCACCTTACCTATTTCTGTCGCCAAGTAAGTATAGGTAAGGGTGCTGGTGAAATTACAGGCACGTGGGACTTGTCAACTTATGTCTCAGGGTAACAGGCGCAGTGGCAGTACCCATAAGTTGTTTGCGATTTAAAGCTCTGAGTGGTACTGCAACTGTTATGGATAGGCGTGTCGCTTACTACCAGGAGCACAACTTGTTCGCCCCGTCACCAATACCAATACTATAAAATATGAAATACTAATATTATAAAGAAAAAATCATATTATATTAATAATAAAAAGCTTTATTTATCTACTTTAAAATAACATCAATTTAGCCTTATAATATCATCTAAAGTTACTCATGACGATAAAAAGGTAAGAGTTTCAGCTTAAGCTGTTTTTGGTGAAACTTGATACATTTTGTATCTGGATACGGAAAAAATTCAAGTTGTTGATCGGTTTTAATTTCAGGTCAGCATTAATAATTATCTCTAAAAAGGTTTATAGCACTTCTAAATTATTTTCTATTACACACAGATTTTTTATATTCCATTATTTGTAAGCGCCGTGTCTTAGAACGACTTATAACAGGGTTGTTTGTGTATTTTATTAAATATCCTTCTTTTTTCATTAGGGTAAAACTCTTCTCCACAACGTGGGCCAAGGAGTCATCATCAGCAACCAATCGCTGGTACTACAAGGTGTCGGCAGGAGAACTGCCGGCAACTACACCTGCGTTGGCTTCAATGCTGAAGGCGATGGCGAAAGCAGACCTTTCTCATTGGATGTCTTATGTGAGTGTTATTACGCAAAATATTACAACCAAATGATTTACTTTTCATTTCGATGCCTTACTTTCTAAAAATCGTATCTTATAAAGAGTGTTATTCAGGAGATGGCAAAATATACTATTTATAATTACTAATACAAAGATCGAACACTCAGAAAAAATTCCTTCGATCCGGCCAGATTCGAGCCGACGTCTTCTAGCATACCGTGTCAGACACTACACCAACTAAACCACGGAACGGACTAGAACCATTCTATTAATTTTAAATATCTTAATGAAATTTTTATTGAATTGATATTCAATTATTTTTTTGTGAAATTAGTCCACTAGTTTGTTATAATTATTAATACAAAGGTCGTAGTGCCATCTATGAGAAATCTATGACAATGCCCCTAAAAAGTCGTTGAAAGACCTAGTACAAAGACACGACGCAAGCACATAGAAAAATTCGTGAGGTCCGTTGGTTCGTTCCGTGGCTTAGTTGGTATAGTGTCTGGCACGGTATGCAAGAAGACGTCGGTTCGAATCCGACCGGATCGAAGAAATTTTTTCTGAGTGTTCGACCTTTGTTTAAATATCTTATCAAGGGTGTTAATTTGATCGTATTATTTTAAGAATAGGTAAAAGCCAGTGTATGAATATGAAGGAAATGTGATATGAAATCAACCTGTAAAATTTGTATATGAAATCCATTTTTTGCATTCCAGTAACTTTGTGCTTTAAGATACGAGTTAGAGAAAGTAAGCCGACGAATAGTGAAACGAAAACTATGTACTGAAGGCTAATTATACAGCTTCTGCGTACTTGTATGACGAAAATCCGCGACAGTGAACCTTTTATCACTTTCAGGTGTTCTCGATCTATGATGTTTGAAATATAAGAAACTATTTTTCCGGTTTTAAATTTTGACTGGCAGTCAACCGTGACCATGGGATCTGTAAAGGGCCCGAAACGTCGGTTTGTTTGAAAAAACAAATATACGCGATTTAAATCGAGAAAAATAGTTTCATTTCCTATATGTAACAATCTCGAATACCTAAGAACTCGATAAGTTTGAAATAAATATTGTAAAAATGTATTCAGATGTATATTTACAAAGAGTTTCTTGCTCATTCCTCTCTTGAGAATTTGCCTTACGAATGAGCGCTAGAGTTTAATCAATATGACGATTTCAAATTTCATTTGCTTACTTAAAAGTGATTTGAATTTGTGTTATGGAAATCGGAAACAACGACGGTACCACAACACTCAGACCTGAGACAATAATATAAAAGTTAGTTTTTCTACACTGACCCGGCCTGGCTCTCAGTTGGCGACATCATGAAAATCGTATTATGGATTGTATAATACATTTTTTGCATTTCTGTAACTTTGTGCTTTAAGATACGAATTGGAGACAGTAAAATCGCAATTATAAATAGGTACATATGTGGTACACAGCTCCTAACTCCGGTGATAATGGGGAATCGGATTAGGTGGCCCTTCGTCTAGTGATGCCTGACACGCACTCTTGTAACTAGATACTATAATCGGCATATTGTGATGATAGTATCTCTAGTAACCAACACCGTGCACTTGATTAATTATAACTTAGTTGAATAGTAGCGTAAGTGCTTACGGTCTAAGCGAACGCGAGCCTATACGCCTAATCTGCAAAATTAGCGGTTCTCTGGTAATTGAATAGTATAGTATGATTGCGAGGTGGCTAACTTGACTATAATGCCCCAAATAAAACTCTCGATCCTATTTTAATCCCATTACAGCCAAGGTCTACAAGGAGTTTTTGTTTTTATTTGTAGCACGACATACTTCCTTACATAGGTCAGGTTCAAGTTCAAGCAAGGAAGTTACCTAACCGCTTACGCGATGCAGTCCTCCTACTGCAAAATGGCGGCTATTTGGTTTCGCAAATTAGAAAAGCATTCAGTTTAAATACAAGTTTTTATAAATAAAAATTATTATTCTGCATTGCTAAATAAATACCCTCCGTACTACCATCGAAAACATCTCAAATAAAATGCAGTAATACACCGTAAATCCCGCACTTAAAAAGCACTAATTAAATTTTTGGTGTACTTGGATAAATATGATAATTTTCTGAGGTTTACCAAGAAATTACTCCTTAAAGTATAGTTTATAAACATTTATATTCAGGGTAAACTTAAAAAACGCTACTTACGGTATGTTTTCAATAAATAAATACCGAAATCACCAGCCCAAACAATAACACACACGATTGTCGTGACGTATTTTTGAAGTTGTTTATTTTTTTTAAATGACAGACCCAGGCATTAAAAACTTTATGGTTTGCTAAAGTAGTTACCGAAATAACAATTAATATTAGTTATTTTCCCTGTTATAACGTCGATATCCGATAAATCGGTATAAAATCATCACCGGCACCTCTAGGTGTGGTATGCGTCCACGGCTGCATGTATCGCGTGAGCGGTTAAGTTCAAAACTAAAAGATTTGTTTAAAATATTATATAAGTCCAATTCGAAAGCGAGAACGTAAGAAATATCGCTTGTACACCTAGAGTTAAAATGATCCCTGTGACATTTAGGACCGTCATTTCTCAGATTCGGAACTGATACGAATTGGACGTAGTGCGCAAGTGAATGATTGAACCACTTGTTACAATGAATTAAGAATTACCCGTTTGTATGTTTTGACCATGGTTTGAAGTGAAAATAAGTTAAGCTTCTCAAATGTTATCAAATTACGTGATGCGTTTCTAATACATATATTTGAAGAACGTGAGTTCAGCCGAGTCTTTTTGTCGCACGTGAGAACTGACCTTCAAATTCATTTTTTATCAGAGCAATTAAGGAGTATAATCAATCGTCTATGGACATAGATCTGTTCAGTACCAATGTAAGCTCGATTCGACGTATGTCCGAGCAATATTTTACTTAATTACCTACCTCTCATTGATTCGTTTTCTGTGTGAGAAGATAACAGTGCGTGTAGTTGGTTGGGCTGTATGAAGTTTAATATTTTTAATTTTTCTCTTTTTTGACATATTTTTAGTGGCAGTAGAGCTCCCAGTGAAAGAGTTCGTCCAGGGAAGTTCTACCACCTTACCTATTTCTGCCGCCAAGCAGTAATGTCAGCATTATTGTATTCTAGTTTTGAAGGGTAAGGTTGGCATTACGGGCACATGGGACTTGTCAGCTTATGCCTCAGGGCGACGAGCGCAGCGGCAGTGCCCCTTAGATCTTTGCGATTTAAAGCTCTGAGTGCCAGTGCAACTGTTAGGGACAGGCATGTAGCTTACCATCAGGCGGCTTGTTCCTCCCGTCAGTTTGATATTATATATTAAAAAATAAAATAAAATATGACGACATTTACCCGGACTATGAACACTCATTGATGTCGCTGATGAATTGATTTTTTTGTATTTGGAGGGAGCGAAATCCACAGAATTTAATAACAATAATAATAATAACGTTTACTGCAAAACATGTTGTTACATAATAGTTCTTATAGTAGTTTACAGTATCAAACATGTACCCTGCAAGGGCGTAGCAATGTCAATTTTTTAAATACACATTTTGATTACCATTAATTAAAATATCATCATTAATTATATCATATCATAATTAAATCTAAACAAAATATTTTCTGAAAAGTCAATGAATTAATTGGAAAATGAATGTCAAATTGAAGTCTAAAGTATTTCAAAATAAATTAATCGTCAAATTATTCTAGAATTATATAATAATAGTCATAATATTTGTCATTTTATTAAATTACATAATTATGTCATATTTTTTATAAATATAGTTAACATATCAAAATTCCTTTTTTATGACGTTATGAACAATTTTCCTTGTCATTAAAAAAATCTTGCAATGAATAGTAGCATTTTTGAGACAGATGTTTACTAAGTTGATTTTTAAACATTTTTACGCTATTTATCAGTTTTAAAAAGTGAGGGAGTGCGTTATAAATTTTAGTTGACATCGAATATGGCCCCAATTTAATGAGTTTTATTGTTTTATGTTTCTATTTAGTTAGATGTAGAGTAGGTTTAGTGATAATGATGAAGTAATATCTAATTATAACCATAGCTTGTAATTAGCGCATTAGGTTTCACTATAATGTGGGCAGGGTAGAGACCACGAACCAGAAGGCGTTTAGTGGAACGGCCTCCTAGTAGATGGACGGATGACTTGGTAAGGGCGGCGGAACTTACCAAGACTGACTAGTCTGGAAATCTTTGAGGAAGGCCTATCTTCAAGACTGTACGTCTTCCGGCTAATATGATGATGATAATGTTGACAGTGGTAAGGTTTCTGAAGTAAACACGTTTAATTCTAATATTTCTGTGCAGACGCTCCAACATGCAGGAGTTCCCAGCAGCGCGTCCACGGAGTAGCGAAGCAGGAGCGAGCACACATCACATGTCATGTCGATGCCAACCCACCTGAAGTTACGGTGAGAGCTTTTTAAGAGTTACTAGGTGATGTTGGCACTGTGTCAAATTTTATTATCTTAGTGCAGTCACCATCTGCTAGACTTAGTATTTGGAAAGATCTAATATTTTGATGCCAAAATTATTTAAAAGGGAAGCTTTGAAGTCATAAGTAAATAAACTTTCATACAAAAAGGTGTAGTACCATTGTACATGATGATTATTTCAAGAGGAAGATTTAAAGCGTTACAAAGGCTAGCAAGAGTCTCAGAACAAAAATAGGATTCAAATTATATTTAGTAGAATGGTTTATATTTGGACCTTATGTGTATAGCCAGCAGAAGGTGTGGAATGTACGAAAAGTTATATCAATGCTATTCGCTCGTAATCACGAACACACACCAGTCCACCGCCTAAGACTAAGAACTCCGGTGCAGTTTTCAATCACACCCGCCACGGATGCAGAATATCTGTTTAAGTCAATACTCACGATACCGTAGGTTTATGCCGCAACAGACCGCAAACTTGGCGGGAGATAATCGCAAATCGCACAGTTACTTAGGATCGATCGACTTCGTCATTTAAGTCCCAGACATCGCCTTGGTATACACCAGAAAGCAGCCAGCTCGTTATGAAGTAATTCATCGTAGAATTAAAAGAAGTAGGCCTAAAACATTCTGGGCGCATCAAGAAAGAAACCGTTATGGAGTTTTTGTTGTTCTTATTAATAGGTTAAAAAAACGTGAAGAAACTGACGTATTTGACGGCCGCCAAGTGCGCGGTTCTACTAGTACCTACCCTACAGACGCTGCGGTTGACGCGAGCAACCGTCTCCGCCACACACGTAAAACGCGTCGTAAAATGTGCTACTAAATTTTACATACATCCACGCGGAAGAAAACTATAATGGATATGCCTTTGGTCTCGATTACTATCAGCACCACAGTCGCCAAAACTCGCGCATTCATAATTTGAAACATTATGAAATTTGATAATGAATGGTCGTAGTTTCTAATTTTAAAAAGAAATAAAAAAAATGTTGACTGTTAATATAATTTAAACTCTACGCTGTTGGCATATTGTTGAAAGTTCAATACCTATTATCGTAAGTTACGTTGTTTTGATTTTATACTGAAATTTCAATCAATGTGCTACCATCTAGCGGTCAACAGCTGAATAAAGACGAATTCGAGATGTTTACTTTAATTTTCCAAAATAGAAACGACCATATTACAGTGACATAAAGTTTAATTTCGTTTTGTAACAAAATTACTACAATGAACAGAAAATTGAAAATTTATTAAAATTGAATAAAATAGGACTAAACGATGAAATGAATTATCACCATTAATATTACAAGTGCGACTGTAATTTTTGCAGTCCAAAGTAGCGAAACAAGGTATTTTTCTACGATTTTCGATGTATTGCGCGAGAAAATTGATACCACCATGACGTACAAATTAAAAATGGCGGACTGAGTTCAAGTATGTGGAACTTCACGTACTGTTGGCATGCGTGACATGCAAACTAAGTACTTCTCTGTATTTATTGTTCTCTGCATGTCCATATTCTACGGAAGCCGCGGCAGACGCTGGTGAAAACCGCTCCTTGAGTCAAACAAACATTGGCTGGAAATATAGTCGTTATTTCAAAACTTTACGATTGTAATAAGTTACACGCTGAAAAATCGACTAAGTTCCCTGGTCTGAGAAATTTGTTTTACAATGAATAAAATCAATATAATGGCAATGAAATCCAAGATTAATGACTTTTATCACCAAACTTAAATTCACAATGTTCAATCCTATTCATACTCCCAAAAACCTATAAAACTCATGAATATATTTATGAGTAAATCGCGTCAAGATTTTGGCTTGATAAAAACCACTTACGGCCGAACTTCCCTAAGTACGAAGTTGGTCCCAATCCTTAGGTAAATTTCTTGAGAATTTCTAGCTTTGTACATAAATAATGAAAGGACATTACAATAGGCTTAACTTTGCCAAATTCCGATTTTATTATTTATATCCATTCTCAAGAGAAATTAGAGGACCGAAAATAGCGTTCTGGAATGTTAAAGTAGAGTGTTGTTATTTCATACAAGTATATTATTTATATTAGTTTCTCTTTTTCTTTTTGACGAGGGGTTTTTTACTGTTATGAACTTCACGGCTTTTATCGTATTTGATGTGGGTGTTGACGTATTTGAATTTCTTCATATTGAGATTTGTAGTTGTATTGTTTTTGTCCGACTGAATATAATATATTTATCAGGAAAATAGCACCAAATATTTATCTCGCTCAGATTGCAAAATTGAATTCACCTACGAGTAGCGACGTAACCACATCATTATCAACATTAAGCCCTCGTTATACTGGATGCAGGTCTCCTCTAATGAGAGGCTTTAAGTCGTAGTAAACCACGCTGACCTAATGCGAATTGGGAATTTCACAAGATTTTCAAGGGTTGTGAACCCTCTTCAACACCCATGTGCGCTACATACATACTAACATAATATTATAACAGGTGAACTGACTTTATGAACATCTTCTTTTCATACTTTAATTTAAACTTTTACGATTTTCACACATTATTTGTTTGTTTTTTCGGTACTTAATCATGTATAAAACATATTCTAATTACTTCGACGTTTTCGATGTATTGCAACATCCGTGGTCTCAAATTGGTCTGGGTGTCAACATCTTCTAGCCTAGGTTTTAAGCTTTCATCGTCGTGGGATCCAATCATCACTAAGCGACATCAAGTATCGTCCGACAAGTCGCCGGATGTCGTAAGTGTTGTGTGTCGGTCTGGTGACAACCCTAGTGTATAAATAAATAATGAAGACAAGTGAAGATGAGACACCCGCCTCTTCAGTCCCTTGGAGACCACAGACGTTGAAATCGTGTTTTTCAGTGTTACCCATAGTACAGTTGATATGGAAAAAAGTAATAAATAAGCGTAAAGCAGTAAAAATACGTCCGAAACGTCGAGGTAATTAAAATATGTCTTATACATGATTAAGTCCCGAACTAAAAATCAAAAAATCTTCTTTTTAAGTAGAGATCAATATAGACTGGTATTTTTTGTCATGTAAACTAATCTTTTTTGTTGTTCCCCAATCCAGTTTCGATGGACCTTCAACAACACGGCAAATAGTAACGAAGTGAGCGATTCATACGTGTCAAGAACAGGAACCAGTTCCACAGTCACTTACACTCCTCACACTGAAATGGACTACGGCACTCTCTTATGCTGGGCCCATAATAGGATCGGGAAGCAGAGAGTGCCTTGTGTTTATCATATCATTGCTGCTGGTAAGTTTTATCACATGTCATATTATTACTATGTATAGATGAACTCAAATTTTAAATTTCTTCGGTTACGTCACAAGACGGGATATTTAACTCTATATAGAATCTTGTACACGACGTAGTAGGTGGTGCTAGACCGCGCGGAAGGTATTCATGCAAAAGACCGATCTTATAGAATCTGCTATGAGCGGTCGTGCATCAAAGACACCAGGAACGGACGGATGGTGAGATATGGTGAGACGAATCACATTAGCCCCTGACAAAAGGAAAAAGAAGAAGATAGAAGAGTCAATTTTCTTGTCCCGTGTTTAAATTGCTTCTGGCTGAATACGATGTATGAAAATGAGAACTTATTTTGTTTTTTTACATTTACATTACAAAACATATTTATATATCATTAAAAGTTTTATTTTGTAAAGGCACATACATTGATCATTAACCACTAGCAAAAATGTGCTTTAACGTAATGAAATACGAGCTATTGTTAACGGACTTTATGTAGGTAATTAAGATTTAGATGGGTAATTATACGAAAACGGAGTCAGACAAAGTTTGGTGCCTCGGATTCGACCGGATTGAAATTCAGAGCACAGAAAATTTTGTTCAATGTGATGGAGAAGACGGGAAGTACGAGTAGATACTATGTGGCTTTTTTGTTTTTTTGGAGCTAGGCTGTTGTCGGTGAAGTAATCGTCAACCATCTCGGTTCAGAGCTCTAACTTTGAGACTTTAGACTCGACATTAGTTTTTCCACCCTTCTTCTTCTAATCGTATCGTTGGCATCATTGACTTACAAATAAATGGACGACGGGTCTAATACAAAAACCACGAAATAAATGTCCCAAGTCAACCTATTTAAACGTAGTGACATGTAAAGGACTATGAAAAAGCTAAAACGTTGAATTTAAATTGTAATATCATCGCAGTACTGTCTAATTTTGCTTGCTTCGCTGTCAATCGAACAAACGAAGACTAAAGCGTGAATGACGCTCTGTATACGATTTTAACGTCCTATAAGTTCGGACACTTTTTAGCGCAGACCCGACGTCCATATAATTGCAAGTCAATGGTTAGCATACAACACAGTGCTTGTCATCGTGGTGACAAGATTTGGCGTACAATACCGATTGCATACATAGGGAAGGCTTCTTTCTCCAATCTGTTCATCCATTTATCTGTTCTAACTACCTTCGTCGTGGTCTTCCCCGGTCTCTTTTTCCTTCGACCTTCCCTTCTATAATGTTTCTAAGAAAATGGTCGTGACGTATTCTAATATCCAAACATTTGGTTATCTGGCTTTATTTGAGATAAGTAGGCTTAAAATTCTACCTCAGACGAAATTCAGTAGATTTACTGATCGTTTTATAATCATCATATTTAAAATTATAAAGCTGTACGTGGTACCTGGAGTCAGACAAGATCGTTTTCGGTCCTCTCTGATCCCACTTTACAACTTCTTAATCGTTTTAAATGGAATTTTCTGCTTGATATAGGTCAAGTAGTGCTAAAGGAGATACGGAAAGTAAAAAGGTAAAACGAAAACAAAATTAATTACCCGGTAAACTCATTAGCTAATTTAACGCTGCTACAATTTGCTGAAACAAAGACCTATGTCCGAACTCACACTGCTCCTTCTCTAATTAACCAAATTTAAAGTTAACTGCAGTTGGAAATCGAACTTCGTAAATAAGTGAAGTGAAACTAACTGAAACCGTTTGGAGAACTATAAATTGCTTCTACGTCGAACCAGCGCGATTTCTCTTGCGTCTTATACAAAAACGAATGAGGCAACTTGCCGTTTGTTCAATGAGAATAATATTAATATTGCTATTGTGAATTTCGATGGAAATTTATTGTTCTCTATGCAATTGCAAACGTTTCTACGAGATGCTAGAAAAATGAATTCGAATTCTGTTTATATTTTGTTTCTTGTTTTATTTTCTTCATACCTTTCATTTTAGAAATTTAAGAGTGCACAATGAAGGCACAAAGAACTTAATTTGTGACTTAATTTCTACTCTGTTGGAAATTCTTTCGTCGTTACGTATTTTGATGTAGCCTCTTCATTTGTTTTTAATATTTATCGAATTGACGATTTGTTGACTGTTTTTCTATAGCTTCATTATTCTTTGTTACATAATAAATATCTATATAGATACTGTTCACTGGTTGCAACAGTTGCGCGCTTTTTATTTGTTTTAATGTCAATTTTGATACTATTCTCTATTTCTATGGCCTCAGCTAGAAACTCAATTATAAAGTGTCTTGTGTGGTAGATACACGATATATGTTAGCCGACTTCAAAAACAGGGAGGTTCTCAATTCGACTGTACGTTATTTTTGTATGCATGTTACGCGATAACTCATTTGGGAACCGATTTTGATGATTCTTTTTTTGTTGGAAAGGGGATACGTCAGTAGTGGTCCCATTTAATTTTGAAGAAAATCTACTACTTATAAGGATGGCTGTTCACGTATGAAGACTTATTTTTATAAATAGCGCCTAAATTTTATAAGGAACAATTATTGTAATGGTTGATTTTGCTATGCTCAAATTGAAGGCGTTTTTCTCTTAATGTACGTTAAGCACTGAATACCATTATCTCCTGTGTCCCATAAGTCCCGTACAGTGTGCCATAAGTCCCTTAAGTTCCGGTAACCGATTTCAATAAAATGTGGCTTCATGAACTTCATGAACTTTTGAGGTCAGTTTTGTTAATACTCTGTACTGGGCTCAAGTTATCCTGTTTTCCTAAAATATTGGACTCCAAATCATAGAGATTTAAAGATTCTACGAACGAAATTAGTCGACAACTTTTTATTCTTAAATAGAATAGTTAGAAAATTTCACATAACACATAATCTGTATCATATACTTCATATTATTTTTATAACTTTCATGTGGTAAAAGTGTTAAGGTTTAATATATAATAAAACAAAATTATTCCTATGTATGATGGAAGTACACCCAGTCATTGACAACTGGCTACGCATTGGCAGCAATGTGCAAGCGCGTCCACCGCCCCAGCATCGAGGACTTTCATCTTTCCGACAATGCGCTCAGGATGCTGTTCGTACAGTGCGTGATACGCATATAGCAGTCTACTGCTCCTTGTGAAAAAGTTCGTCAAGTACTGCTATCTTACCCATTTCTACCGCCAAGCAGTAATTTGAGCATTACTGCGTTCCGATTTGAAGGATGAGTGCTGGTGAAATTACAGGCACGTGGGACTTGTCAACTTATGTCTGAAGGTGATGGGAGTGCTCTTTGCCATTTAAAGCTGTGAGCTTGATATTATAAAAAAAATATGGTAACTGTTTATGTTGCATTATCTCTTGCACACAGTATGTTTAAGATTAACATGTCCCTTTTTCAACACTAATAAATAAACATTTTCCCAGGTCGTCCTGATCAAGTCCACAATTGTACAGTGGTGAACGCCTCGCTCACATCGTTTGGAGTTAGGTGCTCAGAAGGATTCAATGGAGGCATGCCACAATCGTTCCTGTTAGAAGTTCGACAGATTGTCACACAGGTTGGTATACAAATTGTCTAAAAAAATTCAAAGCCTTTATCGCGAATTTATTGCATGTCGTATCTCTAATCACTAATTGTCATGACAGACGTTTTTGTACTATTTGTATTATAACTTGTTGATAGATCGCAATATATAAAGGTTACATAGAAAATACTACGCCCTGAAAAAATATCTGATGTTCTGTAATCATTTTATTCTAACATGCTAGACAACACTGCAACTACAACCTAGTCACAAACTATACTATGAGTGCCGCAGCAACGGATTTCGTTACCCTTGCGGGCAACACACCGACCAAAAATCATTTTATCAATGTTAATTTCCCAAATGGTCCTACCGGTAATCGAACCCGAGACCTCTGCATTTAGCACCCTCAGTGCAAACCGTTGAGTCATTGAGCTTGTCATATAAAGAAAAAATATAATAAAGTATATTTCAATATGCGTGTCATTCCACCTTCAAAAGGATCAGTTACCGGTATTATCCATTTTGATATCCCAATACCGGTGTCAATGGAAAACCGATATATTCACCTAAAGGTACCGGTACTCAATAGCGGTTCCCGCAACGATACTAGTTCGCTACGTGTAGCTACAGCCGTAAATCAAGTTGAGTATTTAATTGCATTTAATTAATTAAATATGAAACAGAAGCATGGAAGATACATTTATTCTAATAAAATAGTTCAACTAATTGTTACACAATAACTTATATAATGTTGGAAGTCCTATTATTTTGTGGAAAGAAAATTAGGCACTATTTAACTGAAAATGTATTAATTTATTTTTTTCGACATCTTTCTTTAAAATACGCAACTGACGAAACCTTAAAATCGACATGACACGAGCTTGCGTTATAGACAATTATGTATACAAACTCTAATACCCCCTTTCAATTTCAAGTTTGCTAACAACTTTAAAATTGTTACAAATGAAATTTGGTGCCTACCTACCTATCAAACCAAATTAAAACAAAAAATAACAGACATGTGACATTTGAAAAATAAATAAACAATATGACGTTTCGTTAAAACTTATAAAATGTTCACAAAACACAACTTATCTTTAAAATAATTAAATTTCACTCTGTATATACGCTATATTTTCTTTAGTCTCCACATATTTGACACTCAACATCTTCTTGTCCACAATGTCTTTAATGAAATGTACCTTTATGTCTATATGCTTCGACCTCTTGGTATTTTCATAGTTATGTATCATCTTAATTGCGCTGGTATTATCGCAATATAGAACTGTCTCAAATTTAACTGTATCACTGAACTCTTCATTAAGTTCTTTTACAAATAATAATTCGGAAGCACATGTGGCCGCAGCTATGTATTCAGCTTCGGCAGTAGACTGGGCCACGATTAGTCTAGTAGTAGTCTTAGACGCCCAAGAAATTAGGCTTGAACCATGATAAATAGCCATACCGGTAATACTTTTTCTGTCTTTATCTCAGGCCCAATCTGCGTCTGACAAGCTGATAAAAGTGTTACGTAACTGTTGCCGATACATTAAAACTAAAGTTGAAGTTTCTTCAGGTATCTTAAATTTTTTTATCGGCTTTCCATACTTTTTCCGTAGGTTTATCTGAGTATCTGCTCAAAAAAGATGTTGCATAACAAATATCAGATCTGGCAACCATGCTTAAATAATTCAGACACCCAATTAGTTCTCTGTATGGAACATTCTTTAATATCTCCTCCGATATATCGCTACCTTGAAAATTGTTCTCCATTCCTGTTTCACTTGTTTTGCAGTCAACCATGTTAAATTAAATAAATATTGTTTGTGACATATATAACGTGTTTTCATTTCGTGTAATATCAATACCCAGATAGCTGGTAACATCTCGTAATAATTTCACTGTGTTTTCTATTTTCATTGAATCTCCGATCAACAATATGTCATCCACAAACACAACTAACCAAATGTTATCTTCTGAGTACAAACAAACATCACATTTTGATCTCTTCATTTCTATTTTCTCGCAAAATTTGTTAAATTTTTCGTTCCATCACTTTGGCGATTCTTTAATCCATAGAGAGCTAGAGAGGGCAATATTACACTCCACGCCTTACTTCCAAATGTGACCAAATTGTTAATTTTATTTATTCCATACATCACATTTGCCGGTGTGTCACCACTTAGTGCCGTAGTTGGCGATCTATTTAACTGATACGTAGCACAACATAAAGCTGCATCCCATAAACATTTCGGTAGATTGCTATTTATGCATAAAGCCCGTGTTTTCAACCATCAGCGTTTTATTCATTCTTTTAGCTACGCCGTTTCATTGAGGTGTATAGCTACAAGTAAATTCCTGTTTTATTCCATTTACGCTACAATAATATTTTAGTTATTTTCCCTTAAATTCTCCGCCATTGTCCGTTCTTATACTTTTCACATTTATATTGTTTCGTTTCATTCTGTTTAGATACTGTATTATATACATACTGACTTCACTTTTTAGTTTCATAATATAAACCTCAGTGAAATGCGAATGATCATCTATTATTGTCACATAATACTTTTTACTATTGTTTGTTATTGGGCCGCCTATATCATAGTATACAAGTTCTCCAATGTTTTTAGTACGAGGCAAATCCTGTAGTTCGAACGGCTTCCTCATTGCCTTCGCTTTTATACACGTCTCACACAATTTTTCTGATAGGGGCAGGCCTAGTACTCTCATGCCTCCGAAGTTATGGTGACCTAGCCTTCTATGCCATACATTTGGATCGATTAACTTGGTTAAGAAAGCTTGGGTACCGTTTTGATTCAATGTAAAACGTATCATGAATAGGTTTTCGTTACTTTTGCCACACATGGTTCAGGTAATCATGAAAATTTTAGCAATATCTCTTTCAAATACAACTTTCATCCCCTTATTTAATAATCTTCTTACTGACAGTAAATTGTGTGAGAGTCCGCTTACTATTAGAGTACTACTGTTTCTTCTAATTTTCTGACAAGGCTATCAAATTTGTTAAAATATTCGGTCAGCTCTTCATTTTCTGTACATTTAAAAATCAGTAATTTCTTGTGTAAGTAAATTGCCGATAGTATGCTTATTTGCTCATAAATTTTCCGAAAATTGTCGATCATTTCTTTGGCTGTTTTTGCATTCCGTACATATTCAATGTGTTTATCTGTAAGGCATTGTACAATAATATTTTTGGCTTTGACATCTTTGAGAAAAAATTCGTTGTTTTGTTTTTCATCCATTTTGTCTTGTGACGACTTTTCTAAAACTTTTTTGCCTTGCTTTTCTTCGAAAATACATGATAATCTAAATAAAAATTGTTATTGTTTTTGCCTGCTCACAATTTGTTTTACATTGTTTTTTTTTTACTACTTTCTATTCTTTTCCAATCTGGCTGAGTGGGTTCTGTGGGCCTATAACCTTTTGGAAGTCCTATAAGTTTGTGGAAAGAAAATTAGGCACTATGTAACTGAAAATGAACCATTTTTTTTTTTGCCATCTTTCTTTGAACACAAATACGCAACTGACGAAACCGTAAAGTCAACATGACACGAGCTTGCGTTATAGACAATTATATATACAAATTCTAATATATAACACCGCGCGGTATTATATAGGTTTTAATTATCCAATTAATACCGATACCAGAAGATCCGTGAGTCGATTTCTTGAAAATATAAGTATAATTGAAGGTATCACCGCAAAAGTGGCCTACCTTCAATTTTTTTTTCAGTATTACTTTCAATAATACTAAAGTATATTTTATATTTATAGATGGTATTTTCAGGTATAAAAAATATTTAATTATTACAAAATTCAAGTACTGGTACCGTAGTAAATTATTAATACTAGTTCCTGAAAATACCGATATTCCAAGCTCTACATTTGAGTGAATGCGTTTGGTTGAAGCATCGTGCTGGAAAGATTAGCCAGTCTAGGTGCTATGTTACCGTGTCTAGCTACTACCGGTATGCGCCTGGAGGAGGCTCTTTCCGTTGACTCGTCTCTTAATGCAGCTACAGATAGTATAACTATATTTAGATAATAAAGGATCTTCTAATAAGAGGTTTCATTTTGATATGTAAAAAACAAGTATTTTTAAGCGAAATCATCGGATGCAAAGAGGACGATATGCCATTAATAATGGAAAATAATATCAGTCAAATGGACGCCACGGCTGCGCTTGCAGAACCATATTCTTTTCATCAATTTTTCCATCAACAATTCGCACATTTGCGGCTGTATGTCTTCGATAACTTCACGAATTCCATCCTTGAGATTTTAAATCAATTGTGGGCCTTTGACATAGACCTTATCTTTCACGTAGCCCCAAAGAAAAAAGTCCAAAGGTGGTAAATCACAAGATCTCGGTGGCCAATTGTGATCGCCCCTTCAAGAAATCACACCGTCAGGAAACTTTTCATGCAAAAGAGAGAACTGAGCTCAACACAGAACTGCAATAATTGACGTGTTCGTATTTTTTTGGGAATTACTTATTACCTACATTTTTAAATAAACTGGTTTTATTTCCAGAAAAAATCATTTAGTTGCTACGACACAGAGATACTAAACTCACATTATGGTGAGAATATTGGTCAAAATTTGTGCACGTTAAGTAATTTTAGTACTTGAGTGTTACGAGCACAAATGTCATAATTGCATGCTATTGGCTAATTTAAAGTGTCAAGCGCTACACACGTCTACCCAAATGCGATAAGTGCATAGGCTTTCATTTTAATTGACCGATAATTCTGCAAGCTTATTGTAATAGCTATTGAGTTATAAAGTAAATTACTACCTAATAGTTACACTGTTTTATAAATGCAATGAATTAACCATACAAAGCAAGTTGTTTCTGGAATTCGAAATCAAATTTGAAATTGCTCAACTGTAAAACTTCCAAAAGTGAAGTTAATACAAGTGTGTGCCTAGGCCATAGATATAAATATATATATATCAATACAGTCCTAAAATAAAATAAAAAATCGTCAAATAAGAAGAAGATTAAA